TGCTTGCCATAAATGGCTGTTTCACTTTTAACTGGTTTATAAGTAACAATTTCATGTAATAGCTTTCCTCATTTATCTACCTTGGAGTCCATTTTTTCAGGGAGTTTATGGGGAAAGAAATGCCAGGAAGTAGCATTACTCAGTGCAGGTCACTGTATGAATGGTTTACTAAAAACATTTTCTTGTTGTTGACAAGGAGGTTTGGATACAACTGTTTTAAAAATTGCCTAGGCTTAGGGGTGCCTAGGTGGCTCAGTTGGTTGAGCATCCGACTTCGGCTCAGGTCATGATCTCGCGGTTCATGGGTTCAAGCCCTGCGTCGGGCTCTGTGCTGACAGCTAGCTCAGAGCCTGGAGCCTGTGTCGGTTCTGTGTCTCCATCTCTCTCTGACCCTCCCCTGCTCCCGCTGTCTCTCTCTCTCTCTCTCTCTCTCTCTCAGAAATAAATAAAACATTAAAAATTTAAAAAAACCTTGCCTAGGCTATGAATATGAAGTAGAGCTCTGAGGATTGGCTGTCTGTTCTTTCATCCAGTGGAAATGGGTGAGCCTTCTGGTGAGACCTACTCATGTCTTCAACCTTCACAAAACCCCATCTTCAGGCTCATCGTCTCTTGGCAAAATCAAGTCACTGCAGACCAGACACTCACCAGTAGCTAGCTAGACAGCACGTGCCAGCTCATTATCACTCAGTGGTTGAGAAAACCTATCTTGTTGTGGAGCCACTTGAAGGAAACACAGTCCATTCACTCTTCAGGAAAGTCTACCATCTATTCCTGGACCAAGGCAGACCAAAAGAGAGCTGGGTCCGATCAAGTCGATTAAGATGAGGCATAGAAGTCTTCTGCACAAAAGATCCCTAGCCCTGATCTGAAATGGGGGTGGAGGGAGGCTTTCCAGAGAAAGCGATGCTTAAGGCAAAACCTGAAAGTAGGCATAGTAACAGGCAAAGAAAGACCGTGTAAAAGAGAGCTGAGAGGGGAGACAGAGAGCACAGAATGTTGAAGGGACTGAGGACAAGTCAGTGTGGCTACGGCATAGAATATAAGGGAGGAATTGGCAAGAGGCCACCTAGGCAGGTAGGAGCCAGATGTGAAGAAATATAAAAATTATCTCCAAGGTCTGAACTTTGTCCTAACAGCAAGGGGAAGCCGCTGAAAAGTTTTGTGCAAAGGAGGTGACAAGCTGAGATCTACCTGTCTGGAAAATCATTCTGGTTGCACTGCAATGATAGAGGGGACCGTTGGGAAAGACAAGGCTGGAGCTGGAAGCCCCCACTGGGGGGCTGTCCTGGTGATTCAGAGAGGAGCTGAGAGTAGTCGTAGAGAAGTTGTTCTGTGTGTTGTGGGGCGTATCATCTGGGGGCCCCAGGGCTCCTGGCAGTCACAACCTCCCACTTGGTTGCACCTGGGTTTTGTTTTTTTGTTTGTTTTTGAAAATAATGATCACTCACAGCAGTCTTAAAAAAGCCAAAAACCCAATACTTGGAGACCACACAAATTGCAGGCAAGTTAACTTTTGTTTGCTGGGGGATTTTTGAGAAAAGGAAACATTTCACTTTCCCATTTTATTTTTTTGATTGGGGTTCACCTTTATTCAGTGTCTATACCATACTCAAGGTACACACAAACTCCATAAGTTGACAGATCAGGAACCACTTTTGATTCCTGTCTCTCCTTTATCCTTCGCATCTGAGGAATCACTGAGCCCTGTAGACTGTCACGCCCTTTCTCCTTTCTTTCCCACTCCTCAACCCCCGACCTCCGCAGCCACCCCATAGCCTAGGTCACAGCATCTTTCACTTCAAAAACTCCCTAACAGGCTTTCCTTTCTTTGTGTTGCTCTCTTCTATCCATTTTCCTGCATACAGACAGGGGACCTTTCACATGTAAACCGGTTTTGTCCACAAGGCTCCCATCATTCCTTCAATGTCCACAATGGCTCACTGACCTGGAGATAAAGGTGGGCGCCATCTTGCCTCCTTCTCTAGACTCAACTTTTACCACTCATCTCTTGCATTCTCTACTAAAGGTTTTCTAAACCTTGTTTTCTTCCTACATTTGTACCTCGGTCCCAGGATTCACAAAAGCTATTCTTTGAAATGGCTTGGTATGTGGCATATTATCTCCTTTTTTGGTTTTCTCCTCTTCCTGCCCAATTCTCTGTCTGAACTTGTCTCTTTGGTCCATCTTTCATAACTCCCAGATTTGGCTACGTCTTCCTAGTATGTTTTCATAAGTATCTTTAACTGTCCTATCATGATCTCCACCGTACATTGTTAACTCTCCTCTCAGAGTATCTCTCTCCAGGCTCACCAATCCTATATTGTCCCCTTCACATATCTTTTAGTATGCAGAAGAGAAAAGCGTGTTTCAACTAATAAAAAAAAAAAAAAGGATTATAAAACAATCCTGAAAAAGAAGAACAAAGTCGGAGGACCCACACTTTCTAATGCAAAACGTAATAAAGTAGTAGTAATCAAGACGGTGTGATACTCACATAGGAATAGACATATAATTCAAAGGAATGCAATTGAGAGTCCACAAATAAGCCCATGAATCTATGGTTAATTGATTTTTTGACAAGTGTGCTAGGACTATTCAATGGGCAAAAGATAGTCTTTTCGTAATTTTTTTAATGTTTTATTTATTTCTGTGAGAGAGAGAGAGAGAGAGAGAGAGAGAGCATGAGCAGGGGAGGGTCAGAGAGAGAGGGAGATAAAGAATCTGAAGCAGGCTCCAGGCTCTGAGCTTGCTGTTATCACAGAGCCTGACACAGGGCTCGAACCCATGATCCGTGAGATCATGACCTGAGCCGAAGTCAGATGGTCAACTGACTGAGCCACCCAGGCACCCCAGAAGATAGTCTTTTCAACAAGTGGGGTTCAGACAAGAAGATATCCAGATGAAAAGAATGAAGCTAAATATCTACCTCACACCATATATGAAATTTAACTTAAAATGGATCAAAGATCTAAATATAAGAGCTGAAACTATAACCTCTTTTTAAAATTTTTTTAATGTTTATTTATTTTTGAGAGAGAGAGAGAGAGCAAGACAGAGCATGAGCAGGGGAGGCACAGAGAGAGAATGAGACAAAATCCATAGCAGGCTCCAGGCTCTGAGCTGTCAGCACAGAGCCTGATGCAAGGCTGCAACTGACAAACCGTGAGATCATGACCTGAGCTGAAGCCGGACGTTTACAACTGAGCCACCCAGGCGCCCCGAAATTATAACCTTCTTAGAAAAAATCATACAAATAAATCTTCATGACCTTGAATTTTGCAATGGGTTATTAGATATGACACTAAGAAGCATAAGCAACAAAAGAAAAAATAAACAGGACTTCTTCAAAATTAAAAACTTTCATGCTTCAAAGGACACTGATGAAGAAAGTGAAAAGATAATACACAAAATGTGAGATTTTTGCAGTTTATATATCTGATAAGGATAAGGAACTTGTATCTAGAATATATATATTTTAAAACTTCTTATAACTCAATAACCACTAAACTATGACATCATGACCTGAGCCAAAGTCTGCCGCTTAACCACCTGAGCCACCCGGGCACCCTACATAAGTTTTACTTTAATAAGTTTACTTTAATAAGTTTACTTAAGGGGCACCTGGGGGCTGAGTTGGTTGAGCATCTGACTTCAGCTCAGACCATGATCTCGCAGTACATGGATCTGAGTCCCATATTGGGCTCTGGGCTGACAGCTCAGAGCTTGGAGTCCACGCCAGATTCTGTGTCTTCATCTCTCTCTGCCCCTCTCCTGCTTGTGCTGTCTCTCTCAAAAATAAATATTTAAAAAATAATAATAAGTTTATTTTTTTTAATGTAAAGGGGAAAGAGCATCTGCCTGTCTCTTGGTCCTTCACTTGATTCTCCCCAGATGATGATGAGAGACTTCTTTGTTTGTTTGTGAATATGAAGACCTGACTTAGCATGACTCCATTCTTCCAGGGGGCTGAAGAATGGCTGTGTTTGGGTCCATTTTCCCATTTCCATCTGGTAAATATAGTAACTTCAGGCATTGCTTGCCTTCTAAAAGGCCCATTCTTCTCTACCCATTCATGGAGCTCAAGGCATATGCACTCAGAGGAGTGATTCTGCGTGAGTTTTCAGAATCTTCCCAGGTTAAGCCATCCCATGATCTAGGCTCAGAACAGACTGGATTGTGACCGAAGATTCAAGCTATCATCCTCCATTCAGTTTTATCAATCACAGGATGGGAAATTTTATCTTTACCTGACAGACTTTGATGTCTTTCTTTAGTGGTTTGAAACTCGTAAGATAACGAGTATTTTATAGAGCACCTAGCAACTCCTAGTAACATCTAAAATGCAAATCCGACATTTTATTAAGAAAGAAGACTTGGCATCTTTGACCCCTCCATATGACTAAAATTTGAAATTCATTTGGAAATATGAAAATAATGAAGTGTCTTTTTCTGAACCATTGCAGTTGAAATGTTCCACACGGATAAGTCCCATTGATTTCACATGATTAATTGCTCATTAAGATGGCTACCTTAGCAACTACTACATCAAGTAACAGTTTTTACAACTCTGACACACAGAGAAAGTTTTAAAGTAACTTAATAGCATTAAGTAAAAAATGATATCCTCATAAGCTACAAAAATTTTTACATATCAAATAAAAAGTGCCTCTCAAGTATGAAATTCTCAAAGCTACAGATGTTAAACACATAACATATAATTATCCTTTTCAAAAAATTATCCTTTATTATAGCTGAGTGGGCTGCTCTTGTGACTTGTGGTATAAATAGCCTGATTTTTTTACCTGATTATTTTCTGAACAACAGAAAAAAAAAAGGATACTGTTGACATAAACATGTAATTTAAACTTCTATAAATATGCTGTCAATACAATAACTCCATTTCAATAAACATTTATTTTGCCAATTACACAGCTAGGATTTTGAGATATAAAACTGAGTAGAATGTGGCCCAACATCTTAAGAAATTTGCCATCAGGTAGGAACCGTTTTTTTATTCATTCATTCATTCATTCAACAAATACAAAGCACTTCGTGGAGTCGAATCATTTTCTAAGAGAGGGGAAGGGAGGCATGCACAGTGAACAAAATGAGCAAAAATCCCTGTCCTTGGGAAAATTTATATTCTAATGGAAAAAAAAAGAAACACGAAACAAATTAAAAAATAACCCGTTTATCAAGTTGTAAAAAGTATCAGTGAGAAGAACAAAGCAGAGAAGAGGAATAAGGTGTGTGTGTGGGGGGGGGGTACATGTGTGTTGGGGGACACGGCATGATTGTAATTTTTTTCTGAGGTCACAGAAAACTATGATATATTTAAACTCAATGAGCCAGAATCCACTTCGATGATCTAGTTTTGTTGGCAGCACTGAAAACATCATGGTAGGTCTAGTCTAAGGCATGTCTTCCCTCGTTGAGGTATCGACTTGGGCCACATCACAGTAGGAGAGCTTCTTCCCAGCGGGCCAGGCCTGCCCTTGATAACCATGGTGGGTGCCCTATGTTACTGCTCTCCATTTCTTCACGAGCCACTCAGAAAGGAGGGGCAACCTGATGGGGCACAGTGGTTAAGCTTATTCTTCCTGGACCCCTCTTCTGAAGGCACACGGCCCTGCCTTGAGAGTTACAGTGTTCTGGGCCACTGGAAGGTAGAAGATGTATGGATCTTTCTCTTCTTTTAGATGTTGACTTCTTTTTGCATGGCTTTCTTGGCTTTATTTTTTTTTATTTTTTTTTAATGTTTTATTTATTTCTAGGAGAGAGAGAGAGAGAGACAGCGTGAGCAGGGGAGGGTCAGAGAGAGAGGGAGGCACAGACTCTGAAACAGGCTCCAGGCTCTGGGCTGGCAGTCAGCACAGAGCCCGACGTGGGGCTTGAGCCCATGAACCGTGAGATCATGACCTAAGCGAAAGTCGGACGCTTAACCGACTAAGCCACCCAGACACCCCATGGCTTTCTTGGCTTTAAAAGGCTTCTCTTTTGGGGTGGCTGGATGGCTCAGTCAGCTAAGCATCTGACTTTGGCTAAGGTCATGATCTCACGGTTCATGAGCTTTGGGTGAGCCCTGCTTCTCTCTCCATCTCTCTCTCTCTGCCCTTTATGGGATTCTTTTTCTCCCTCTTTCTCTCCACCCTCACTCACTTGAGACCCTCTCTCTTAAAAAAAAAAAAAAAAAAAAAAAAAGGCCTTCTCTTTTGTTTCAGTTTTAGGAAAGTTTCTTTCCTTCCTGAATTATTTTCTTAGAAGGGACAGTTGTAATTTCAAATAGTATAATCAAGGAAGTCTTCTAGCGAATGTACTGTTTAAACAAAGATTTGAAGGAGGTGAGAGAGATAGGCATGCAGATATGTGGGGAAAGTGCAAAGGCCCTGGGGTAGGAGTGGCCAGGTGTTACAGATATAGAAGGCAGACATAAAAACAGATTTATGATAAAATGTACTTGTGTACACACACACACACACACACACACACACACACATACACACACCAAAAAACAGCACCCAGAAAAAAGTGCTTAGACTTTACTTTGTATAACTAACCCATAAAAAGTACTTTTGCCTTGGGGCGCCTGGGTGGCTTCGTCGGTTGGGCGTCCGACTTTCGCTTAGGTCACGATCTCGCGGTTGGTGGGTTCGGGCCCCGCGTCGGGCTCTGTGCTGACTGCCCACTCAGAGCCTGGAGCCTGTTTCAGTCTGTGATTCCCTCTCTCTCTGACCCTCCCCTGCTCACGCTGTCTCTCTCTCTCCTAGAAATAAATAAAAATATTAAAAAAAAAATTAAAAAAAAAAAAAAAAGTACTTTTGCCTTAAAGGTCTCAAGTACATATATAAACAGTGACTACTTAACAAATAGGATAATAAGGTAGACGTGTCTATTATGTCCATTTTGTGCATTTGAGGGGAGAAGATAAAGAAGAAAAAAATTGTTAGCAATTTGAATAAGAGCATGAGCATGAAAGCTATTGTCCTGAGTTAAAAATCACAACTTTGTACTGGGCAAGTTACTTAACTTCTCTTTGCCTCAGTTTCCCACTTTAAAATGGAGATAATAATAGTACCTCTGTTGCGGGATGGTTATGAATATTGAGTAAGACACTACATGTGCCTCTGAAACTTTACTGTGCATACAGATCTCTTTATGCGGATTCCGGGGTGCCCCCTGCAGTTCTGTGGGTCTAACAAGCTCCCGGTGGTGCTGGAGACGCTGGTCCACAAACCACAGCTTTATACTGAGGTTGTAAAGCATTGAGGACAATGCCTGGCATACAGTAGGCACTAAACAAATTTGGCCATTATGCTTGCACACCATTGAGGTGGCAGGGAAACGATGAAAACCAACAATTTTCCCTCCTTTTCTATCAGATGTTTCCTGACAAAATGATTCCGAGTTCAAACGACGAATGTGGATATGGATGATATGTGTTTCATTTTTTCAGTCTGACAAGGGCAGCCCTCGGGTGTCTCTCTGGGTTTATAGTTTTAAGCTGATCAAAGTACTCTGCATAGTAGGCATTCAATAAATACTTAATGGATGAAAGAAATGTCCAGACTGTCTCAATAAACATCCCTCTAGGAATTAACAGTGCTGCTGCAGTTTGGTTTTAATACAGTGGCATGTGTGCCAAATCGTTATTTCAAGAATGTGGCAATTGTGTTCTAAAATCCAAAGTATGTTGTTTTAGTCTCCGAGCATTAGATTCTAATACCCTGCAGACTAGCTCCACTACTGCAGGCTTCCTGTGCCCTTCAGTCCAGACTTTACGTGCTAACAGCGCCCTCTACTGCTCAGGAGCAAATCTTTGCTCCCAAATCCAATCAAGAAACCTGGATCCACTCGCCACATGCAAGTAGCTGGCATCTGCCTTTAAAGGAGAGAAGGTGGCAGTGTAGCAAGTGTCCACGCCGTGAAGAGCTGGTCAGCAGGTCAGCTGCTGAGCAGATCGCCAGGACCCACGGAGAGGAGAGAAGAGCTGGATTCAGTTTGTTGCCAGGCTCCTTTCCTTCCCTCCCTTTCCCCCCACACTAACCAGATCTTCATCCTCCTCTTCATTAAGGTTAGCTGCACTGTCTGCCCCCTCTTCCGCCTGCCAAATTATGATTCTCCTTTGGAGAACTATACGGGGAAGCAAACCAGTGCTCGGGTGAGAGCCCACTGCCTGCTGAGCAGGAAGAGCTCTTCCTTCATGGTGACTGGAGCCTTTCATTTGTATAGCTCCATCTTAGCTTTTTTCTGGGCTTTGAGTACAAACAGCTGTGTAACTGTCACCAAAATATTTTATTTTACTATTTTACTTTATTTTAATGTTAGCGCGTGCGAGCAGAGGAGAGGGGCACAGAGAGAGGGAGGGAGAATCATTAGCAGGCTCCACATACAGAGTCCGAAAGGGGGGCTTGATCTCACCACCCTGGTCCCAGGACCTGAGCTGAAATCAAGGGTCACACACTCAACCCACTGAGCCACCCAGGCACTCCTGTGACCATAATCTAATTTTAGAATATTTTCCTCATCTCAAAAAGAAATTCCTTACCAATTACCATTCACTCCCCATTTCCTCCACACCCCTCAGCCCTAGGCAACCTCCTGTCTCTAATCTGACTATCCTACACGTTTCATAGAAATGGAATCATCCAATACGTGGTCTCTTATGAATGAGCTGGTTCACTACCTTGGTTTCAGGTTGTAGCGTATATCCATAATGCCCTGATCCTTCCGACTGCTAAGTAATATTCCACTATATGAATGTACCATACCTTACTTATCCATCTGCCAGTTTATGGACATTTGGGTTGTTTCTATTTTTTGGCTATTATATATCATGCTACTATTAACATTCATATATTTTTGTGTGGATGTGTGTTTTAGTTTTGTTTGGGTAGATACCTAGCAATGGAATTACTGGGTCGTATGTTAACATTCTGAAGGACTGCAGACTGGTCATAACCCTTTGCCTTTAAATGGAACATCACAATCCACCCCCCACCTAAGAATAAAGAAACAATAAAGGGGGAAATTTTTGTTACCCCCATGACTGCTAAATAGAATATAATAGAATTATGATCAGGAGGTTTCTAACATACAGATTAGCCCCTCTTAATTCTTGAAGAGCAAATGCCCAAGTTTTAACCCAGAGAATTATTCTTCTATAGTATTCACCTCTTGAGACTGTCTGGTCTTTTCCTTCTTGAAAGTTCTTCTGAACATGACCACCAGCATAAATGTTTTTACATTCTTTTGAAGCATATTTTTCTGATCCACCACTTAGAGCTACTCTTGTTTGGAACTGTATGATTTCTAGCCTTCCTGGAAGCAAGCACACCAGTAGGTGATCTGAGAGGTTTCATTTTTTAAAGCCATAATATCAATTAGTCAAATAGTCACAAGTGTTTCTTGAGCATTTGCTCCCCGTCCAGCAAAGCGGAGACAGCAGAAGAAAGATGAGAGAGTTCTTGTTTTGGAGAAGTTTATAGGTCAGCTGGGGAGGAAAATAAAATTATAACTCAAAATATCATGCCAAGTACCCAAATATCTTCAGTGATGCGCTGTTTGCAGGGCAGTGACAGCTGAACGTGTCTAAGTCATAGCAAACGTAGACTAGGATATTTGTACAGAGACAGGGATGAATGTGTATGGATGGACACTGGGATGTCCACGTACCCCCAGGCTCCCTGAAGTGGGTCACCGTGTCCATTCACTGATACACCATCGTGGGACCTCCCAGTGTGACAGCATACGTGTAGGAAACTCTAGCCCACGGGATAAATTCCAAACTTTATTTTTTGCTTGGCATGCAAGGCCCTCATTAACTGGCCTTAATCTACCTTTCTAACCACTTCTCCTATGAGCCTTTAGGATCTAACAACCTGGCTTGTTTGCTACCTTCAGGACATGCAGCGCACTCCCTAGAGCATACGCCTTCTCCAAAATGAGGCCACGGTAGACATTTATTGTTGGGCTGTTTGATTCTCACCCCCACATCTTCTCTCACGTAATTCGTAATTTGTGCCAGCCATTCAAACTTTCCCCATCCCTTCAGGTCCCCACTAACGTCCCTGTCCTTTGAGACATTCCCTGACGTCTCCAGCCCACAGGGCTTGCTCTTCTCTGCGTGCCCATGTCGCTCAGAATCTAATCTACATGCTTGATTTGTGAGGGTACATTGACCTCCGAGTTATTAAACCACGACCAACTGGTAATTGTGGTCTGTCCAGCTGGAGCCTCAAGCAGCCCCTTCAGGGCAGATAAGGGGCTCCCATGTGGGTGTATGTGGCGCCCTCAGGAACCCTGGAGAAAAGGGCGGATGAAGGAGAGCCTGTCCAGGGGCTGTTTATAGCAACCGTCCACATTGTTCTAGAGTCTGCTTTCCATCTTACACCTATTACTTCAGGGCTTAGGTATTTCGGGGCTTTCTCAGAATGTTTAGGCAAAAACAAAAACATGATCTGGAAGGAATGGTATAACTTGACGCTACTCTGGGAGGCACAGAGATACAAGGCAACAATATTAACCCACTGAAGGCCTGACACAGAGACACAGATACAAGCCAACAGGCTCCTCGACCTGCCCTGCAGGAGCCTGACAGGAAGAGGAAGAGGAGGAGCAGCAGCAGCAGGAGGAGGAGGAGGGGGAGGGGGAGGGGGAGGAGGGGGAGGAGGAGACAGAAGTTAAAAGGAATCATCAAGCCACTGAGCTAAGTGCTCTCCTCCATTCTATGACACTATTATAAATTACACTTCTCTGTTCCTGGTGGATTAA